ATACTTGGAAACACTGTTCTATTTGACCTCTGATTATTTAAATTTTTCTTTTTAATTCTGCAGCATGTGTGCTTTTTATTGTGAGTGACTTCAAATTCCTTCTGGAAGTAGATGGGGAATAAATTAGAAAGAAACACTGTGCCTCAGATTAAATGTGATTTGTGGAGCTTAACGGCTACATTCTCACTCCCTGCTCCATCCCAACAGGGAAGCTCCTCTCAGGGCTCATTCTGGGAAATGCAAAGCTCAGGCAGGGGCTGCCCCTGCGGATGACCAACAGGATAGTGCATCCTGGTCCCAGAGTCCCTCTGGAGCTCTAGAATCTCCATCTCCCATTCTCATTCTCTTCTTTCCACTACCATTAGTCCTCGTGTTTAAAAGATAAACATCCTGGGCTAATATTTCAGTAGACAATGCCTGACCTCTATGCTATTTTCTCTTAGGTAATTCATGTAGAACTGTGCCAGGCACTTATTACACAGTCAAGACATCTTAGATACTCGCAGTAGTGACGGCATATGCATCTCAAAGGGTCTTTCTTCATTCAAGGGGGTAAATGAGAATTGTTAGAATTTCAAGAACTGGGCCAAGGTCGGTCAGAAGAAATTCTAGGCAAGAGCACCTTTCATTTCCCTTCAAAAAAGCACTACAAAGGCTAATTCTGAATCTACCCATTACTACCATATGTGATGCTTATGGTATGCCTCTTATTTTACCTATCCTTTTGCTAACTTTTCTTTTTAAAAAAAAAAAACCTTTTTGGCCACTAAAAGTAATGGCAAAGCCCCAATTACTTTTGCACCAACTTAAATATAATTATACTTCTTTATTTTTTACTCAGGTTAACTTACTCCTAGAACATTTAAGAAAACTATCTGATCGCTAGATCCTACTCACAGTGAGAAAACAAAAACAAAAAATACAAAAAACCCAGACTCCAGTTTTAGATGCCAAGATCTGAGTCCAGTTGCTTATTTTAGCATCGTTATGGATAAAGAAACTCCTGTGAACTGAGATCTTCAACTGTACTGTAAATGACACAGCATCAAACTTGTACGCATTTGCTGAAATGCTCCTGTGACTGCTAGTTTCCTGAGCTACAAAATGGGTATGACAAGGTTTATTAATTTAAATCTCACAGAAAAATTCATAAAAGCACAATGGTTATATTGGATTTGGAGAAAACATATCCATAGCTTCTTAACAAAATTTTGAACATTGCTATAGGCAGTTATATCCATATTTTCCAGCATCATTATGAAAACCAGCTTAACCCAATAAAACTATTTGCCATTCTGTTTCACAGATGACTAAATGGAATTGTGAGAGACAGTTAGTGACCAAAAAAAAAAAAAAAAAAAAAGAAAACTCTTTTGGAATAAATAAAAGTAAGCAAAGCATATTGATCAGCCTCTTAAAGATTTAAATACCTTATTTAGATTATGGCCCCCAGAACTACAGCCCTTGCACTCTATTTGGTATATTTTGTTCAGTAATTTTTCCAACAACCTCAAGAACATATCAGTCCTGCTATCACTTATCACAAAAATTTTTTAAAAAAGGGAAAAATATCCTCCTGCCCTATCCAAGTGGGTCACTGCTACTTTTCTCTTTGTTCAGCCTTTCCTATGGAGGTTTGCCAGGTTCTAATGTGGTTCACTGTGTATTTTAAATGCTGGAAGTGGTTATGGTCAAAGAAGGTCAGAGAACATAACTGCTGAACAAGGATGGGGATGTGCTTGGGAGAGACAGAGGCTGAGATTTAGGTCACCTCTGGGGAGAATATTTGGGTTTACCAGATACTTGTTGTTTATTAGTGTTCATGCTTTTCCATGGCCTCATTTAATGTTCTAAATTAAGAGTCTTAATTTAGAGGCTTAACGTAGTATTTTAAGTGCCTTAACAGTGATTTGCAATAATTTTAAATAAAAATGATCCAATCATCCTATAAACAGAATTGCCATCTTCTGTAAATAGAAACGGCAAGCATTTCAACACTCTTAAAAATATCAGCTCCTTGATTTCCCTCCGCCCTCTCACCAATGCCTCCCTTTTCTTTTCAGAATTCCTTAAAGCAATAGTCCAGAGTGCTCTAGGGGAACTCAAGGGACTCGTGTTGATGCTAAAGACACTGGGAAGAAGCCATCCTGTGGAGATACACAAGGCTTGCTGTTCTTCACGCATTGTCACTGATGCGCAGGAGTTATTTTCTTTTATTCTCCGTGACTTATCAAAAAGGATTTAATAATGGATACAGATTTAATACAGATTTAATACATGGATAAAATAATGGATAAGCAGCAAAATTTAAACCATAGGCAAAATCAAACTTCAAGATTTACCTACATTATTCTATTTTTATGAGCATCAGACAGGCAAAATCTGTCTTATAAAGCTGGAAGCAGACATTATCAGGGCTTTCCTACATGATGAACTTCAAAAAAGAAGGAAATAAAACAATGGAATATTCTGACGCCTGCTCAGATTTTATTTTACCATATATAATATAACCCTTATTTATAGAAGCCCTCAACTTCAACTCTGAACAATTCTCCAAAAAGATACTTCTACCCTCTCACTACCTGCATGGACATTCAACAGATCTCTAAAATAACAAAAACTACTTCTACTGGTGTGTTATTATATTGCTGAGGTGCTTGGAAAATAATCAAAGATTAAGAATCCCAGGTTCTGTGCATGTGCTTCAGCCATCCTTATTGTGGTGGAACAATTTCAATCCATACATACTATATGTATAAACCTGTAAGGCGGTGGCTCCTGGTTGCCTACAACTACCCACTCCTCCCTTCTTCCATAGTAAAAGAACCTTAATTTTTAGCCAGAAAGAATCCTACCCAGAATAAAGGTTTTATTTGCCAGCCTCCCTCGGCAGGTGTGGCCACATGACTACACTTTGGTCAGTATTATGTAACAGAAGCGGGTGGTATTTCTACAAGGAATCCATAAAAGTGGGATTACTTTCTGCTACCTAGAACATAGATTTTATACCTAGAGCTCTAGCAGCTATCTTAGACTACAAGGTGACCACGCTTAAGGAGAGAAGCCAAATGCTGACAACAGTATTTATCTTGTCAAGTTTCTCTCTCTCTCTCTTTTTTTTTTCAAGACAGACTCTCAGTCTGTTACCCAGGCTGGAGTACAGTGGTACAATCTCAGCTCACTGCAACCTCTGCCTCCCGGGTTCACACGATTCTCCTGCCTCAGCCTCGCAAGTAGCTGGGACGACAGGCATGTGCCACCACACCTGGCTAATTTTTGTACTTTTAGTAGAGATGGGGTTTCACCATGTTGGCCAGGCTGACCTCGAACTCCTGACCTCAGGGGAATCGCCCACTTCAGCCTCCCAAAGTGCTGGGATTACAGGCATGAACCACCACGCCTGGCCATCAAGTCTCTCATATCTAGAAATTAACTGTTTGTTTTATGGCAACTGAACAAAATAGTGACTGATATATCTATCATACAGTCCAAGGAACCTGTCTGCTCTGGGACATGAAATTCAAGTTTTCTCCTCTGCAGACATTCCTTAACTCACCTGAAGATTATAAAGGCAAACAAAACCCATCAAAAAAATGATAGCCTAGCATATAAGAGTAAAGGCTCGAGATCAGCTCTGTCTTTGCATATTACCACTAACCCCAGCATCCTACCACTCCAATTCAAATTATTCAACTCCAAGTGACTTCCTAAAAAGAAAAATTAGTATATTGGAAGATGTTATGTAGTTTTATAAGTATTCATAAGTATGCTAGAATCCCAAATGCAATCATTATTAATAATAATAGCAATAACAATAGATATCACCTATTGTTCAATATCACATGGCTGCTATTGTACTATTTGGCTAGCACTCTGCTGATACATATTACCTAGAATTTGAAGTAAATATCATCCCTATTTTACAGATGAGGAAACTGAGGCTGTGAGAAGTTTAAATAACTTAGCTTTCATCATGCAGCCAGTTCATGGCAGGGATAATAGATGAACGCAGAACTGACTATAAGCTTAAACATTTTGGCTATAGAATCCTGTATCTCAAAATGTTAGATAAAATAACCTTGAGAATCTTTATTTTCCTAATTTCAGAACCACAATAAAACATCCTATTCCTACCTCTAGTTTACATTAACATGAGCATTTCTTAAAGAAAAAAACTGATAGAATTTGTCAACAAATGGTAAATAATCTTAGAACGCAAATGAAACAAATTCCAAATGTAGTTTTCCTTAATTTCACATTTTGCTAACAGTTTTATTTCAGGGCATCCTATATATTTCCACGAAAAGGGTCATTGTGCACCTTTCAATCCTTAAACATCAAAACTAAAAAGAAACACCTATAATGGCATGTTCTTGGTTATTACATCTCTGTATGCCATTCCTTTTGAAACAGAATTGATTTATTTTCCACCTCTTTGTTGAGCTCCCTCCTCAATAGAACTAAAAACCACTTAAAGAAATTAAGCCCGTAAAGCATTCTTTAAATACATGAAGCATTTTAGCCAAGATTCAAATGATAAGTGAGTGAAAACAGAACATAATTCAATCTTTCTATTAAAAATAAGATATATACGTTTACATGTCTGTTTGTGTAAGTACACATGCAGGTATTTCTATTTAAAGGTATATAATTTTAAAAATATAGTTATTACATAAAAAGTTTATCATTAGAATAATTAATATTTTCTTGGGCTGCTGACAGCTAAAGAACTAAAACAGGCCTATAAGAAAGTCAAACAGAAGATTAGAGCTCCCTCTTTCTTCTTTTTGAAGGAATTCAACAAAACTCCTCTCCTAGGAGACCAAAGTTATCAAGCAGCCAGCAGCCTAGTAGCACTCCTGATCACAGCAAAACATTTCCCCTGTCTCTGTACACATGACACATGCTACAAGCATTAGAGCACACTTATTGGTTGTTCATTATTCATAAGTGACTTAAGTAGTAAAAATAAAAGCACTTTTAAAAATAGAAATACTCACAAAGCCATTTCAAACTGTTCTAGCCATTTCTTCTTTAAATCTTTTGTTTTGCAATAAAATTCTAACCCATTTTGTCCTTGGGTATGGATGAGGTAGAAGCCATAAGACCACTGTTAAAATTAATATTCTTCAGATTAATATGTGTCATTAACAACATTATGTTTCTAAATTCACAAAAATAACTTATTAAGAATAACCACCATAACTATCCAAAAACCCCTCACAATATTATCAATGTACAAACTGCACAATCAAGCTGATTGTAGTCAACTTCATATCTATAACAATTTCTATGCCAAATGCCTTTTACTATCTGGATCATTAGGGCATTAGAAATGATCAGATCTGGCATTTTCCAGTTATTTCTCACAAAGGTATGTACCTAATCAATCTCTAGAAACAAAAACATCTGGATTGATAAGCCACATCTCACATTAATGTATTATCATACTTTTCCTTAATATTCAAGATTATAAGTAAATTACAGTTATTAGTTTCCAAAAAGTCACCTTTTTATTTTCTTTATCGGTTGTAGGATTATTGGCTATCTTGTACTGCTGAAGATCTATTATTTCCTTCATTTCATAGTTATCACCTTTTCTCTTACATACGATCACTGCCAAATCAAATAAGAAGATATGCCTGTGAAAGAGAGACTGATTAATTGATTGATTTTAAATGGTTTAGAAGGATGTGTATTAATTTTTTTTGGTAAGATAAAATTAAAGCAACCAAATGTCTTTTTCTTTGCATTAAAGACAACAGGTAGTATCACACATTGAAAACAATGGGGGATTTGTGGTTATAAGAACTGTGTGTATCTTGGAACTTCCCTTTACTTTGTAAATGGCCTCAGTGTGCCTTTGTGCCTTGGTTCCCTCATTTTAAAAATGGGCAAAATTCATAATAAGAGTAAAATGCACACTGCAGAGTTGTTGAAATGGCCAAATGAGATAAGCCATAAAGTTTGCTCATGAGCAATTACCTTCTTTTTTAATTTAAAAGCTAAAAACGTATAGAATAATATTAATGACATCGGTAGCAGCTTCTACTGAAGTTACTAGGGATCAGCCAAAATGCCTTGAGAAATGTTGTTCATCCCTTTTACAAACATGACTCAATTTAAATCCCCAAGACCACATGCTGGGTAGGTACTGTTTACCATCTTCATTTTACTGAGGAGGAAACTGAGGCTTAGAGAAGTTAATTTGCTCAAGGTCACACGGCTAGTGACGCATGTAACGGGATTCACAAACAGGTCTAATTTTGGAAACTGTGCTTTTACCCTCTATGTTGCTCCTCATGATTTAACTGACCACCTAAAAACACAAACTGAATGGTATATGAGCCAAGTGTAAACTGAAGAAGTTACGGTGAAATTTCCATGTTAATACTTTTTTCTTATTAAGAACAACATAACTTGGGGGAGAAAATAAACCTTATAACCGCATCACCCAGTACCAATACTTGTGTATTTTTATAAACTCTCAGAGATTAATACACTTTTTTTATACACAATGATAATGACACATTCACAGGGCTGTAACACTTGCATCACTTTTAACGTCTATTAAACCAGAGAGGTTTAAAGGACCTGTGGAGCCAGGGTTATCGAGGTGGAAGCAAGAGCTGATGCTGCCCCCTGCTGGCTCTTGCTTCTCCAAAGATTCCAGAAAATGATCACTGTCAACCACAAAAACCTGTTTGACGATCACATATATACATAATTAAGGACTCTGGGCCAAGCTTATTAATTTTCGAGAACTACATCTGCAAATTTCCCTCAAGAAAATATTACTACATGATTCTCACTTGGTCTTCTTTCTTAGGGCATTTTTCTATTATTTTCAGTTATTTAAAAATATATTCCAAAAATTCAATGATGTTTTTACGGTAGTTACCTGTTCTTACTTTATCGCTCTTCTCATTTTAATGTATCCCAGCTGATCATCTATACTTGTTACTTCCTTCTTAATAACTTAGACAAATTAATAGATATCAGAACCCAGGTGGGAATGCCTAAGATAAACTAAATTTTAAAAATTTAGAAATCATGGGTTGGTCTGTCTCCCTGTACTTCTTCCTTTTTTCCCCTACTTCACACTGGAAGAACTGTCTGTAAGGTATTCTCCGTTTTCTGACACTAATTACTTATTTTCAAAATAGAATTCTCCATTTCTTACCTTTCTTGTTTTGTATGCTTGTCTAGAGTGGTTATTCGAATTTCACCATCTCCCTGAGGTCGTCCAAAAAGCAAAACTGGTTGGTTCTAAAATATAAAATGTACATGTCAGAGTTTTTCATAATCACATTAAAATAGAAACAAATGTTAGTAGAGATACTTACTCAAGACAACTACCTTATTACATTAAAATTTTATCATTTTTTACACTTTTAAAGCATATTTACTCTAAAAAGCTCAGACCTACATGATAAAGAAGTCTGTCCTCTGTAATACCAGGGGGTATGTCAAGGACATCAGTTGATTTTAATTATTATATATTCTTAAAGGGGAAATTAGCTATGAAAAGAAAGACTCAACTGGAAGGGTCCAAATTACAAGACAGTTGGGCAACTAATATTTTTTGAGCATCTACTGTGTGCCAACCACCATAACAGGTGTACAGCAAAATGATACAGACACTGTCCTCGTGAAGCACACTGCCCAGTGGAGGGACAAATATTCACAGAAGCAAGAAATTATAAATGCACCACTGCCATGAAGGAGTACAGAAAGGGGTTGGGTGGTGGGGGTGGGTGCTAATTTGGTCTATAAAGTCCAGACTGGCTTTCTTGAGCTAGGACCTCAAGGATGAAAAGCTCTGACTTAATGATTTAAAATAATGAGCTATTTTCCCAGAGGCTGATAACAAAATTACTTTTAAGTGTTTATGAGCACTTCCTGTACATGCTAGGGGAAAAAAGAACTGACTGAAAATCACTAACATCCAGAAATTCCATTTTAATAAAGGGCAGAGATGTGTGATTAACACTATAAATATAAAAATAAATGTTTCTTATCAAAATCCCAGTGATGTTTTCTGCACAAATAGAAAACTCCATTCTAAAATTCTTATGGAATCTCAAGGGATTCTGAACAGTCAAAACAATCTTGAAAAGGAACAAAGCTGGAGGTCTCATACTGACTTCTTTCCAAACCTTATTGCAAAGCCACAATAATCAAAATCATGTGGTACTGGCATACAGACAGACATACAGACCAACAGAATAGTACAGAACCCAGAAGTAAGCCCTCACATATATGGTCAAATGATTTTCAGCAAGGTTAAGACCACTAAATGGGGAAAGAATAGACTTTTCAACAAATGGTGCTGTGAAACTGGATATCTACATGTAAAAGAATAAAGGTAGACCCTTCATTACCTACACCATAAATAAAAAATAACTAAAAATGTTTCAAATACCCAAACATAACAGTTAAAACTATAAAACTTTTAGAAGAAAACAGGGAAAAACCTTATGACAATGGATTCAGCAATGATTTCTTTGAGATTGATAAATAGGACTTTGTCAAAATTAAAAACTTTTGTGCATCCTAGACAATATCAACGGAGTGAAAAGCCAACAGACACAAGAAAATATTTGCAAACCATGTGTCTTATAAGGGACTGATATCCAGGATACAAAAAAAGAGCTTCTACAACACAATGACAAAAAACAACTTGATTCAAAAATGGGCACTTGAATAGGCATTTTTCCAAAGAGGATATACAAATGGCCAAGAAACACACAAAGACAATATTCAACATCATTAATCATTAAGAAAATGCAAATCAAACCCACGATGAGATATTACTTTAAAACCATTAAGATGGCTGTTATCCAAACAAACCGAATAGTAAGTGTTGGTGAGGATGTGGAAAAACTGAAACCTTTGTGCATTGGTAGTAGGAATGTTAAGTGGTGCAGCTGCTGTGGAAAATAGTATAGCGATTCTTCAAGAAATTAACATAATGACCATACAACCCAGAAATTCTCCTTCTGAGTACATAACTAAAAGTGAAAGCAGGCACTTGAATAGATATTGGTACACCTGTGACAATAATAATATAATAGTATTATTCACAATAGCTGAAAGAAGGAAGCAACCCAAATGTTCATCAATGAAAAAAGTGAGGTATTTATATAAAATTAGATATTATTCAGCCTTAAACAAATGGAAATCAAAAAAATAAAATTTTGACACATGGCTACAACAAGGATGAACTTTGAAGACATTATGCTAAGTAAAATAAGGCAGTCATGAAATGGCAAATATTGTATTATTTCAATTGTATAAGGTGCCCAGAGTAGTTAAGCTTACAGAGACAGAAAGTAGATTGGTAGTTTCCAGGGGCCAGGGAAAAAGAAGAACGGGAAGTTCATGTTTAATGAGTACAGAGTTTCAGTTTTGTAAGATGAAGTTTCAGAGATGGTCACACAACATCATGAATGCACTTAATGCTACAGAACTATAAATTTTCAAAATAATTAGAATGGCATATATATACATACACATGCACACACACACACACACACATATATATATATATATACACTTTTTTTTTTTTTTTTTGAGATGGAGTGGGAGTCTTGCTCTGTTGCCCAGGCTGGAGTGCAGTGGTACAATCTCAGTTCACTACAACCTCTGCCTCCCAGGTTCAAGCAATTCTCCTGTCTCAGCCGCCCCAGTAGCTGGGACTATAGGCACACGCCACCATGTCTGGCTAATTTTTGTAGTTTTAGTAGACACGGGGTTTCACCATGTTGGTCAGGCTGGTTTTCAACTTCTGACCTCAGGTGATCCACACGCCTCGGCCTCCCAAAGTGCTGGGATTACATGTGTGAGCCACCACACCCAGCCAATGCTATATATATTTTACCACAATTTTTAAAGGCTACACAGCTGTTCAAGAAATATGCTATGGAATTCTAAAGAGGAAAAATAATAGATTAGGAAAAGGGATTTATTTTAGATGCACCTTGAATAAATTTGATAGGGAATAATAGGAAAAAACATACTAGGCTCTGAGATTACAATCGAAGGCAGAACTGTAGAAATGTATGTCAAACTGGAGATCTTATAATACAGCAAAATATCCACAATGTAAAGCACAGGGACAGTTATTAGCTGGAGGAGTTCAGGAAAATAGCTTAAGTCTAGATCACTGAGGACCTTAAATATCATGCCAAGGAATACTGACTGAATCTTGAAGACAATAACAAAAAAAATCTTGACAAATTTGAGAAAGAAAGTAAATTGAGAAATCCACATTTTGGAACTGCAACTATGTGAAGAGATGATGAGAGGCTACTGTGACTGGAAAACCGGCAGATGATGGTGTCCTGAAATGGGTATGTGGCTGCATGTGCGAAAAGAAAGAGACAGGTTCACAATGTTTCAGAGAAAACAGCGATGAAATTGCTCTACCAAAAATGTATCCTAAATTCACTCATCTCTATTTGCACTGCCCACAGATTAATCCAAGGCTGCATCCTCTCTTGAAACCACTTCAACAGCTTGCTGGCTGGGCTGCCTGCTTACAGGGTCTTTTTGAAATGTCAATCAGTCTGTTGTAATACTCCCTGATAGAAACCTTTTAATAGCTTCCCACTGCAGTCACAGTAAAATCCCAATTCAGCATCTTGGCCTACAAGGCTGTGTTACGCAATTGCCCTGCCCATCCCTCATGGCTCAGAGCCCACCATCCTTCCCTTCACTCTCCATTTCCCGCCACTCTTACCTTTCAGCTTCTTGAATACACCTGTTTTTTTCCCAACTCTGAGCATTTCACCTGCTACGACTTCTGCCTGGGTCACTTCCCCCTAGATCTTCATGTGGCTGGCTGCTTCTTATCTTCTAGGTCTCAGTTCAAATGACTTAAAAGGACTTTTTCCAACCAACTTATCTAAACTAGGACTTCCCTTATAATCTTCAGTTATAGCAGCCAGTTCACAGCACTAATCTCAATATGGCATTTTTAACTCTTTTTTTTTATTTTAAACTGTCTCCTCAATCTTGAGACCATCTTGTTCACAGTTACAGTCCCAGACCCAAGCAAAGTGTGTGGGTCATAATAGTCACACAGCAAATATATATAAAATGAATAAATGAATAGGAATCAGCCGTGAGTATGTATGGGGATGAGGGAAAGAAAAGAAAAAAAAAAGTGGACTCCTATGTTTAGATTCAGACTGCTGGGAGAAGAGGCAGAGTGTGACTAAGGTAAGAGGGGCAAGCCATCACACAGTCCCTAGACATGAACAGGTCGCAGGTGCCCTCAGACACCCACATGAACACTGCCAAACAAAGGGATTGGCAACAACACCCAACAGTAGAAACTTGAAGGTAAAAACTATGTTTTCTTCAACAACAAATCCTAGAATGTCGTTGATGTGGGGGTGAGGGGAAGCGAGATGGAAAGATAATTACATACCAAATTCTCTATAGATAGCTGAAACTGTTTAATTTCACGAAGGGTCTCATTATCTCTTTTCACTTCATTCACATATTGTGCCAAGTCCTAGACAATAAAGAAAGGGGTAGAAAAAGAAGGCACACTAAGATTAGAGATGCAAACTGCTTTGAAAGAAAACACATCATTAATTCCATTAGTGGTAAAAGTAACCACTGTAACTTTTCAAAGACAATAAAATGAATGCCCAGTCAATCAAAGCTGCATCACAGAGGCAATTTTAAAATGTCTGAAGTACAGCTGGGAAGACTGAAGAACTGTCATTTGCCACACCACTGAGAAGAGTCAGGATGTTGTTGCCTTAAAAGACAAAACAAAATATACCGCAATAGAGCAACAAAAAGGAAACTAGGTCGGAAGAATAGAAATTCCAAGCACGTTAATTACTGACCTTGAGAGCACGATATTTTTACACAGGTTAGAAGGGCAATCATGAACGATTAGCAGGGAGAAAAGTAACCGAAAGTTAGAAAATGAATCTAGCAAGACTGTTTTATTTTTGCAACCAGCTAAAGTCTTCTTAGTTCCTGAGAGCATTCAGTCAAGGAAACCAGTTCAATTTTAAAGAGTTAACCCGAATATGGATTCAGGAGAAGTAAAGGAGAGGTGAGGAACTAAATAGCACAACATGCTGGAACTAAATTTAATTCATGAATTAAAGTGAACAAAAAATGCTGGCCGTGTCTCTCCATGTGCCTTCACCTATTTTAAAATGTCTTTTCTCATATTTGAGGAAACATTAGCTAATCTTTCCATACTGTAACTAGCTATTTTTGTTACATGTGCTCCAGATTTTCCTGTTTTCTGAGCTCTTTTTCTTTTTTCTCTACCCTCTTAAATTCATCTGCAACAGTAGGGACAGAACTCTGCAAAAAGCAGTTCCTAACTTTGTTCTAAATGGAAGTCTGATTTTTCATAGGATAGATTCATAAACGACTTCTTTAAAAACTGGAACTTGGTTTGACTTTTTAATAATAATAATAAATAATTGTGTGGTGTTTCCTGTTAGTGACAGACAATCAGCTAAACAGCAAAGCTAACACGAATTGGTACAAGGACACAGCTAAGTAATTAATGCACTGCTCTGAGCAGGGTCACCTTGCCATTTTGTTTTTAAGAACAAATATTTCCCTACGCTTTAAGTTATTGGCAAATATCTCATTTCAAAGTCATTTTTATTCAACATAATGTGGAAACTGAGGTTTTATATATTCCCCAGTAAGTTCAAAATGTCTGTCTTTATCTATTCATAGTTCTTAATTTTCATATTTACCTGAAAACCGAACAAACTGAAATTCACTTGTATTAAGTCATAGCATCCACAAGGATAAACCTAGCAGATATCCTCATATGAAGAAAATAGTCACATGGGGTTCTGAAGCCACCAGCTGGCCTACGACTTACACAAGCCAACGTTTTCTATTAGTCACCATGAAAAGAATGGGAAAAATACCATGATATTAAATAATTCCTCATGGTTATGAAAGTTGGTATACTTGTATCTAAGTGATTTTAATATACTTCTTGTTTTATGTGTTGTCTAACAATTAAATCCATGCAAGGATACCTATTCCAGTAAAACAAACAAACAAACAAAATATCCAGCTGTCCCCACTAAAAACAAATGTGTATTATACATTAGGATATCATAATATTATTTATATATATTATTTTATACATATATATTACCATATATGTATTAGCAATTTGAATTCCATAGTCTTTAGGCAAGAATAAAAAATATAAACAAGTTACTGACGAATCTGCCCTACCTTCATGGCATCAAGAGCCAGTTTCAGATTTGCCTTCTCAGTCGCATCAGTGGTATGTTTGACCAGTTCCTATTTGGAAGATATGGTTTAGTACTACTTTCTCAAATTAAAACAAAGACATACTAAAGAAAACATTTTTACAAATAAGCCATTATTATTGGTTTTCTCTCTATAATGTGATAAATCTAATATGTCTGGGCTCCATTTCCATCAAAAATTTCAAACTGTAAGACCAACTAGACACCAAAAAATCATGAGACATTTTCTTTTCAAAGATGAATCTGAATTCTATCCACCACCATTACACTGACATTGATCCCTATTGTTATGAAAGATTCCACAATGATTAAAATCATACTTTTTACTCATTATTATTCTTGGCTTCTCTATAGCTTTTGATTCTTTTGACTGCATCCCTCCTTTCATTTCAGGGACATCGAGATGTTCTATTTGTTGCTGTTATTGCTGTTACAATTGCTTGTCTGTCCATCCTAAATTTCTGCCTACTCCTCAGTCTTTCATAGTTTCTTCTTTATTTGCTTCTTAGAAAGTTATTGTTCCTTAAGTTTTCACCCTAGTCCTCTTTATTTTACCTTATTTTACATACTCTACAAATTCTATCACAACCACTGTCATAATGTCAACTATCACCTCATGGGCCAATCACTGTCAAATGTACGTGCTCAACCCAAAATTCACACAGTCCCGGACTCATCCGTCCAACTAAATGGTTCTACCTCATTATTTCAAAGGCTCCTCAAATCCAACATTCCCCAAACTTAATCCATCTTCACCCAGAATCCTATTCTTAGATCCTGTTTCTGTTTTATTGAATGATGGCACTTCCATCAATGTAATCACTTAAGCCAAAACCTAAAAGGTCCCAGACTTCTCCCTGTTCTCTCTCCCTCACTATGTCCTATTGATGCTAACTTTGATCCTGCCCCCTTTGAACCATCCTCACTGCCACTAATTAGGTTCAGATCCTTGCCGTTTTTCAAACAGATAATTATTTGCCAAGCATGGTGGCTCACACCTGTAATCCCAGCACATTTCCAGCCTGAGATGGGAGGATCACTTGAGTCCAGGAATTTGAGACCAGCCTGGGCAACATGACAAGACCCCATCTCTACAAAAAAAAAATTAAAAATTAGCTGGGCAAGGTGGCATGAGCCTGTAGTCTCAGCTACTCGGGAGGCTAAGGCGGGAAGACAGCTTGAGCCTAACTGCAGTGAGCCATGACTACACCACTGCACTCCAGCCTGGGCAACAGAGAAAGACCCTGTCTCTTAAAACAAACAAACAAACAACAAAACCAGGTAATCATAATGAACTTCTGATTGGCCTTCCGACTTGCAGTCTCTCCTCACTACAGTCCAGTCACTCTATTGTCATCAGGGATAGGTTTCCATAATATGAATCAGATCCTGTCTCTACCCTACTCAGACTTCTGTGATGCCCCACGAAAGCTTCAGGTTGTCACCCACACCTCCTAGATGCCGCATGATCTCAATTCTGCAAACTTCTCTCAATTTCTCTTTCCACTTCCACCCAAACAACTTATATTCTATTCATACTAAATTAATTGCAATTTTAAAATATGTTCTAATATCTAATCCCATTAGAAATATTATTTTTTCTGCTTACAAATTTCTTCCCTTCTGATTTACTTATTGACCCCTTACTCTTCCTTTAAAGCCCAACTCAAGAGTTACTCCTCTGGGGTGTCTTCTATGGCAGAGGCCTCTACTCAGGTTCCCAGCTTCGTTATACATTATTATTTAGGCCTTTATCTGTGCCGGTTCTGTACCTTATATGTACCTACCACATTGTGTTATACTTGGCAGTTTACACTTCATTTTTCCTTTCTAAATGATGAGCTTTGTCTGTCATATATCATGAGTGCCTAATACTATGTTTGGCACAGAGAAGTCACACAAAAATCTTTAATGAATCCAATACTAGCAGTGTTTCTACTATAAACAGGACCTAAAGACGAGTCTATTAAGTATAATAAATCCATCAAAATTATATTCTTTTATTCCTTAAAAGTTACTTTTACTTCATTAAATAAAAATTGTTATTAAAGTTCCCAATCACCCACTATAAAATATTCTACCCTTATGAATCTGTGATTTCAAATCATCAAGCATTTCAAGTGATTTCCCCACTAAAGTACAGTAGTAAGTAAAAAAGCCCAAATTGATAACCACATTTGTTCAGCAAATTTCTAGACAACAAATAAATTTTACTCCATAGAATTTTGAGAGGGAAGAACATTTCTAGAATTTTTATCTATGTGTAGTATCCAAAATAAAACTTTTCCTATTTTAAAAAGTCATCATGGAACTAAACATACTCTTAAAATTGTAAATATAAAACAACCCAAGGGAAATTAGGGGGAAAAGTTTACTGAATTTCAAAAAAGTATGGTTGTATTTTATACTTTTATATGTCTGTGTAAAACCCTGTGAGGACCAAAATAGGTATTTTTTAAAAGCTGTACCTTCTAAAATCTTCAATCGATACTTGACTATACCAAAGTTACAAAATAAATTATTATCTTATTTTGGACACGTTTTTAGTTCCAGGATGCCTTGGAAACTGATTGCCTGAGTCGTCCTTATTATTTTTTCATAAAATCCAATTTGATTAAGTTGCCTTGAGTTTAGGTCTCATAAATGTTTTAATGCATTTTTAAGGAATAATCAGGGTTTGAATTTTTCTGATTTCTCAGTAGAACAAAAATAGAGATGACTAATAATTTTGCAGCTACAGTTCAAGAAATTTAATATACAAGATATACAAAGCACAGCCAACACAAAATTGTATTTCACATACAGGTAGTAGATCTTTTTAAAATGACATTTCACAAGCATCAGCAGAGTTGACAGACTAATACAGTAAGACATTTCTTTGGAGCAGAACTAATGAGTCTCCTGGTATAGCTATCAAATTAAATTTATAAGACTCTCCACCCTCATTAGAAGACTAACCGTGGAAACCATAGCTTTGTGGGTTATAACAAGAATCACTTCAAAATAAATGTAGTCTTATTATAATTTAGTATAGTAGAAAGCAATATGGAATGTGACACAATTCTCTTTAGCTGTTATAAGGCAAAAGGTCTAATATGATTAATCTGCCAAAATTCAAGTGCACTGCAATATTGAGATGCTCATAAATGAATACTGATAACTATAGAAGACTTAGTTGAAAAAATATTTTTATTTGTTTTGACTTGTTTTTAATTATTTTCTAGCCAGTCCTGTTTTAAAGACACAAAATATGATTTATGGCAGCTACTGAATCATCTTTGTTAAAAGGAAGAAAAAATGTCCAGCTGTTCTGTTATTTCCCACTTAACTATAATAATAATTCAAAATGTTAAGGGGATTGGGCCCAACACATGGAATATCTGCAATGTAGTTGATGCTTCGTTAATATCTTGTTGAGTGAATAAATGGACAATAAACAAACTGTTTTAAGTTACATACCTGGAGGAGAAGGTGGTACTTTAAAACACGTTGCATAGGAACCACAAGCAAGTCTCGAAGAGTAAATTTCCCATTATTTGCTCTTTTGGAACATTCCTAATGAAATGTTTTTAAAAACACTTTGTTAGAGAGTCATAAACATTAAAAGATGCAAAGGCCATAAGCAGAACAGTTATCATATAGTAAATGAGTGTGTCTGTTTCCTTAACAATCCTTCTCTGTAAATAACAGAAAGTATCTTCAATTTAAAACAAAATCTTGCAGTATTTTAACTCCAAATATGAATCAAATAGAACTATTTTGTGTACGAAAATTATTTTCTCAGCTGGGCGCGGTGGCTCACGCCTGTAATCCCAGCACTTTAGGAGGCCAAGGTGGGCGGATCACAAGGTCAGGAGATCGAGACCATCCTGGCTAACATGGTGAAACCTCATCTCTACTGAAAATGCAAAAACAAAATTAGCCAGTCATGGTGACGGGTGCCTGCAGTCCCAGCTACTCAGGAGGCTGAGGCAGGAGAAAGGCGTGAACCCGGGAGGGAGAGCTTGCAGTGAACCAAGATGGCACCACTGCACTCCAGCCTGGGTAACGAAGTGAGACTCCGTCACAAAAAAAAAGAAAAAGAAAAAAGAAAATCATTTTCTCTAGTGCAAAATCATGGCCTCCCACTGTCTTCTTCAGTTTATCTTTATTGCTGTACCTCCCACCAATTTCCCCCAGTGGACTTACAGAACAGGCATCAAGAACACATCCCTACTCATCAAAACTGTCATTAGTCTTCCCACTCTCATGCCTTGGTTTATTCAGTTCCCTCAACTATGATGTGCTTTGTCCAGCCTCCGGCAAAACGCATCTTCCTGTTTAAGAACTATAATCCTAGGCCTTTCATAACAATTACAATCAAAATCGTGTGTACTCTCTGTCTTGTGGGTCTTTTAATTATTATCATATGTAATATCTACCCCAACATAATTTGTGCTGTATGCCCCTAAGAATGTAGTATTTGCTTAATAAGTATTTACTGAACTGAAATGAAATTTGACTTTAAAACTTTGTTCAAGTATAAACCTACTACGCAACTCCAAGATTTAGAAGACTCAGATTGTATTTATTTTAATTTCACCCTCTTCTTTGCTAAAGGTTTATTTTAAAATAGTATTGACTGGTTTGCTCTTTTGATAATAACTATGACTTTGAAAAAATTACTTTGACATGTCAAAGAATTCACTTAAAACCAAGATTTGGCAACTGTTGGCTGTGTGACTTTAGACAAGTCACTTTTCTGATTTTACCGTTTCCCACATAACTGGTGTTCTTCAAAAAAAAACAAAGGGCCATACAAATATTATTATTAGTGAGCAACCTCATAAGTCCAAAATCCTCACACAATTGTACTCTGTGTCCTCTCTTTCTCTAAGATGAGAGGGACATCTGTGTCCCTGATGTCCTCTCTTTCCCTAAGATGAGCACTGACTGCAAAAACTATATATTTAGAGTCCCAGAGTACAGTCATTGGGCAAAACTTCGACAATAACTCTGAAAGAAGGAAGAACAACATTCAAACAAGACTGAGAATATAATGGAGATGCGACTGACAACTTGCTGACTCCTATCTGGAAGCACAATTTTATATCTTTATTTTAAGAAAAACTGCTTTAATGTTGCCCTATTAGGAAGTATGTGTATGAGTTGTAAAATTTAATTTTATCATCAATTGTACAAGGACCTTTCCAATTCATAGATGGAGCTGTGCTTTAAAAAATACACTTTTGCTCATACGTTTGTTTCTTTTTGCCCACACTTAGTTTTTCTGGCACATGGAATGATATATTATCAGGAGCTCCAAAACAAACACCATTAACTCTAATGATCAGTGACTAATCAGGCAAAATGAACTGGGGACACATCCTGACATGTTAGCTGTGTCATCAATTACTGCAGTTCATCAGAAGGATAACTATTTCAACCGGTTTCTTACTTCTACAGATTGCAGAGAGCTCTGGATCATGGGTCTCAAACAGGAAGTTAAATTGTTAATATTACTGTAATGAGTGGATCTTATTTCCTCAACTGCATTTTAAGGCCCTTGGAATTAAGGTGTAGCTTATATTTCTTATGTTATACCATCCCAACACAGTGTTAGGAACAGAAATATTATACATTTAGAATTCACTGTACTATGGAAATTAGTGTCAAAATGTTGAAGAAAAAAAATGAGTTCCTTTACATTCTAAGTTACAGGCTCAGGAAGTAAAGAAACCAACATTGCTGGCATTAGCTACACCTGGGAGATAGAGACTGAAGTGTAAAATGCTTATTCGTGTTGAAAGTAAATAATGGCTAGAAAGAATCCTTCCAAAACATCCAGTCACTTGCTTAGCCTCAATTCAATTGTAAAGGAAAATAAAATGGGGTAGGATGAGCCAGGCTTACAGGGCAAGATAAAGAGATTCATCGCCCTTCACCCCATGTTACCTTGGTTCCAAAGTAGAGAAGAAAAAGACCAAAAAATCAACAAGAACAAAAATAACCACAAAACAGAAGACACAAAGAAGACAGAGACACACCAAGAATAAGGCAGTTTTCCTTCTATCATGCTGGGGCTTGTGGTGGGCAGCTCCAACTGAGCATTTGTTGAAGTGTTAACATTAAGTATCCGACTTAATACTTCCAAATCAGGACTATGGTTAGAAGTGGGAGCTTTTAAGCTGAGGAAAGGACAGCAGGGGCAACTCACCCTGTGCCTTTCAGACTCAGCCTGATGTCCTCTCTTTCCCTAAGATGAGCACTGACTGCAAAAACTACATATTTAGAGTCCCAGAGTACGGTCATTGGGCAAAACTTTGACAACAACTCTGAAAGAAGGAAGAACAACATTCACACAAGACTGAGAATATAATGGAGATGTGATTGACAACTTGCTGACTCCTATCTGGAAGCACAATTTTATATTTTTATTTTAAGAAAAACTGCTTTAATGTTGCCCTATTAGGAAGTATGTGTATGAGTTGTAAAATGTAATTTTATCATCATATTTTTAGTCACTGGTTCACAGCTCTACACTTAGTAGGCTCTATTCTCCAAAGAGGAGCAGGAAGTCTTTGCACCAACAATGTTACAAGGATGATATTTAGTGGTGACTCAAACTACCTCCAGTCTTAAAGTCAACATAACGAAGGAATATTAAGATATAAAGCAAAAAGATCATGTATCTAGTACAGTTATTTGGTAGCCTGTTAAGGTGAAAACTGTCTAAGCAATAGTTTCCCTTTGTGGGAGTTGTGAGCTATGAAATCATGCCAGAGAGGCAAAACAATGAAGGGCTTCTGATTTGAAAATCACCTGCCCCGTCTCCCCTGACCTCAGTGCTACACTGAACAAAGAATAGGAAAAGGGGTATTAAAGAGGCAAATAAGCCAAACACTGTTAAGAGCTTGCTATATATCTCTACCTGAAATTTAATGAAATTCAAATACATGGATAATACAACAACTAAATTCAAATACATGGATAATACAGTAACTGATATAACAAACATTCTTCAAAAGTTCTTTGAAAGCATGAACTCCTCAAACTCCTCTTCAGAAAAAAAACAAAACAAAACATGACTTAACATAGGTTTCTAGACTTATATTCTATTGTTATCATGCACTCTTGATTATAATGGCCTACGTGCCATTTCTCAAACTTCCCCAACTATTCTGGTCAAGACATACCAATTGTTCGGGAATGCTCTCCATAGAATCTCATCTGTCAAAGCTCATCCCATTCTTTGGTGACCTAACTCAAATGCTGCCTCTTCAGATGAATCCTCTACAATCTTCCACACTGAAGTGGGTAGATTCAGTCTCACAGAGCCCTATTGCACAGTGCTTATCACATGTTATTTAATCCTATCATATTTGTGTTTGTCTTCTCTTCCTTCTTGTGGGCAATATCCATGCCCTTTTAATACATCTGACTCTAAATGTCATATTTTTAGTAAACACCTTTTTAATTTTGTTGTTTTTGATACAGGGTCTTGCTTTGCCACCCAGGCTGGAGTGCAATGGTGCAATCATAGCTCACTGCAGCTTCAAACTCTTGGGCTCAAGTCATCCTCCTGCCTCAACTTCTCAGGTAGCTAGGACTACAGGCATGAGCCACCCCGCCCAGCTAACTAGTAAACATTTTAAATCTACATATACGTTATCTAACCTGTCTTACTCGTCCTGTACTTCCTACCGTCTATGCAAGTTACAATCTCTCTGAACTTCTGCTTTCTCATAAGATGAGAAAATTAATTGTACCTATCTCACAGAGTCAGAAGGACCTAATGAGATAATGCACGTAAAACATAGGACCATAAATGTTAGATTTTTACGACTGTTACTATTACTACCATATTACTATTTTATAGAGCAATTTAAATATTTTATAAAATTGACATGAAAATGTATTTAAAACAATGGGAAATGTACTGCTGCACTGATCATAAAGAGAAATACATTGCTTTTAGGTTTATTTTGCTTTATGTCATAAACAAAAAATAAATAGGCACCTCTAATTTCAGTTTGACATCTTCTTTTGTCTTAGAAATGTAGTCTAAACTAGAGATGGCCGACTCTACTCCACTGCAGTACTGCCCGTAAATAACCAATCTGAAAGGGAAAAAGAGAAGAAATCTGTAAGACAAAAAACAAGAAGGAACTGGAGGGGAAAACAAGCAGAATTTTCATCTCTTTAAAACCATAGTTAGGTATAACCAAAATAGCAGTAGAAATTATTTTTAATACATATCATATACATAGTCCTAGAATGAGGGTCACTCATTTTTATAGTAATGACTAATTTTTAGTTCCAACTTTGAATGAGATTAATTCTATGTACATTTTTATAGCAGGTAGAATTTACAAACTGGCTTGATGACTGTTAATGTTATTTGAGTAGACATAAATGAATTCCAAAAACAAAATTAAAAATTTCTGTTAAAGCTCTTACTAGAAATAACCTTCATCTCTAAACACTCAGAAAGTTTTATTTTCTATTACAATTTTATGCCAATCAGTACATACAACTCCTTCATTATTAAACCTCCTACTCCTTGCTACTTTTTAATTAAGGAACATAAATCATCTGAAGAGAGGAAAATGAGAGACCGGAACTGTGCTGGACAGAAGATAACTCATATCACATGGAATCTGACCCACTTCAGGGAACGTATCTCTGTAGTAATACAAATATTTTGCAAAGAGGTCAGTTGGTTTATTGTTTCTCTTAACTCTCCACTGGAAAAAAAAAAAACACTACTAATAAGATATGAATATTTATCGAAGACTTGATGCAAAGCAATTCATTAGCCACTTCTTAGTACTAGGAAATACGTTGCTTGATTTGAAAAGAGAGATAATTATATTTTAAGCAAAATTTCTTGATACTCCAATTCATATAGGTTGTCAGGAGATTTTTTTTTTTTAACTTAGAAAGGGAAACCGACTCTGCGAATCTAATATTCTGAAATAGAGTGTCATAAAATACTAGAGTTGGAAGAAAAGTGGAAGAAGCATTAGGTACCAGCTAATCTATCTCTAGTGTTTACAGATGGGGACATAGAGGCTCAGAGAGTTAAAATGACTTACTGAAGATTACATTGCTCAGTAATGATAAAGTCTATAAAAGAACCTTAGTCTTTTGATTTACAATGCATTACATTGCTCAGTAATTCAGAGAGTTAAAATGACTTACTGAAGATTACATTGCTCAGTAATGATAAAGTCTATAAAAGAACCTTAGTCTTTTGATTTACAATGCAAAAAAATAAGCACCATAGTAGGTCCTTTCTTCCCCTCTTTCTTCTTTTTTCTTTTTAAATTACATATATAGAACTCAAACTACTACTCCCCTCAAACTGAACTCTCTTTGAGAGTTACTACTCAAAGTAACTCTCCCATGTTCTAATTACTGCTCAGGTAGTAGTGTAATCAACAGTAGTAATAGCTATTTGTTAGCTATTTTAATACTAATCCTCACTATAATTACAAACTTAGATCCACAAAACTTAAACTTCAAAAGTTACCTTTCCTTGTAGTTAATAAAAACTTGGTACAAGTTATGGTCATTTTTATTTACAATGGAATCATGAATCTCTTGCATTAGGTTCCGATGCAGTTTTACAAGTTCCTAAAAAAAGAAAACAACGTGAAAGGAAAGTAGGAAACACAACCAAAAAATACAGCCCAAACCCAGAATCCCTTTTGTCGCTAAATTTGCCACTCGGGATATGCTGAATGCTTTCAATATATAAAACTGCTTCCACCAATAAAGAGAGAGGGAAAAGGAGAGTGGGGAGAGAAAGGGGGAGTAAGGGGAGGAAGTAGAGGGAGAGGACAGGGTAGAAGAGGAGGAGGGAGAGCAGGGGATGGAAGGGAGAAAAAAGAAGGAAGATAAGAGGAAAGCAGAGGAGAGGGAGGAGAAGAGAGAGAGACAGGCCATGTAGATGGGAAACAGCAATTTCATATCTCACTTGAAATGTCAGTGTCCTGTGAAAAAAGACATTATCTCACTAGTTATTAAAGGATAATTTATTCCTTGTGGAAAAATATGTATAGCTTATTTCTGTTTTATAATCACTGTAAATTTTTAAATAAAACTGTCCAAGTGCCTAATGTTTTATTGACAGTAAAAAATAATGACTCATGTCCTTGTGACACAGAAATGTAGATTTGTACTTTGGTCAATTAGTGGTGTCCTGGTGCTAAGCTAACAATAATCAGACTAAATTACTTGAAACCAGACAACTAATGGCATAAATAAGAAGCAAATAAATTGTATTCGACAGTTTACTGGAGCAACTCAAAATGTCAGAATTTCACATTTTTCCCGATAAGCAACTAATTTTCAGTCAGGCAGTAAATACATGTCATAGCCAGGATATGAGGCAACTTGAACTAGGTGCCAGTTCTCCCATTATCTCATCCTGTGTACCTTGGAGCACGCATTGACTCCACAGCATGCTCTTTCCTTAGTGGGGTAGAAAGTAAACATGAAGATGTGGGCTCTAAGTTATAAAGACCATACTGAAGTGGTTCAAGATTCTTATCTTCCCCAAATGTGCAGTTTATTTAGTGCTAAACCTTCATCAGATATTGTACATGTTATAAATCAAAAAGAATGTCTTTCATTCGGCCAAAATCGGGATAAGGATGACATGCCATTGCTTACCAACAGCTACTGAGCAACACAGAACACAACAGAATCAAAATATAAAGAACTGTTCAGGTAACACAAGCAGGTCTGTGCGTAAAAGCTTAAATACATGTATCAGTGTATGTGGACGCACGTGCGTGGGGGTGGGGGTGTATAAACCAAAGCAAGTCCTAGAGGTCTGAGAACTTGAATCTTGCCTAGCATTACCTCACTTGGCATGGCATTTAGCTTGCTTCTAGATTTCTGGGCAAATATCCTTTTAAGATTGTAAGGTTCTGGTAAGGTGCCCTGAAACTTACATAATGTAAACAAAAAAAACTCCTCAAATTTTACAATTAAAATAGTCTGGTAAATCATAAGGAAGTAGTCTATTTCAGATATGGGAGTTACGTTTGATACAACTGGAAGCAGAAAGCACCAAATAGTAGAGGCCAAAGATGTGGAGGAATGGAGGAAAGTAGGGGAAACTGATATGGTGAGGACATCATCTACAAGACAAGGTCTGAGGGGCTGGAAGAGCAACAGAGCTCCACAGGGAAGTGTGGGGATGGAAGGGGATCCCGGATTACTTTAGACTACCTCCTCATGACAAACAGTTAAGAATAACACATGACAGTTATTTTTCCATTTGTGTTCTTCACACGTGTTAACTGACTTTTGGTTGAAGATAGGATACATCAGTTATTTCAAGAAATAAGGATATAAAAACAGGAAAAACAAATAAATAAATAAGTAAATAAATAAGGCCAATATTCTTAAAGACTGCAAGAGTGTTAAAAAATAGGGATCTGGAACCCCCTAAGGAAATGAGGATTTTATTGAAGTACACCACAGTTTTAGCTAGCATATTTTTACTTACAGGAATGTTCATGAATACCGAATCAAATTCTGCTGCTGTCAGAAATCTTTTTAGTGGTGCCATGAAATACTACCAGGAAAGAAGAAGAAAACAGTAATTAACTATAGCTTGTCCTAATCTATATATAATAGTTTTTCGTCAACCACAAATATTTTTTGAAAGTCAATTGTTGATCAGCATTATAAACACCAAAATTGTAGAAACTATTTTCTCTAACTTAAAGACTTCACACTTGAATAGATATATAAAGACATGAATACAAGCTAATATTAATACATTTAAAGTATAAAACAAAATGGTTTAGACAACAAATGCTTCCAAAAGGAAGGAAGAAAAGAACACTATTGTCTGAGTTGGCAAACAATGGCAACATTTTGGAGATGTATATGAAGACTTACACAGTAATATCTCCGTAATGTTTTGTGGAGATTCTATATCGCTGAGGTCAATAATCTATGTGTGCAATTTATGAATTATTCCTCGAGAATTTTAGTTTCTGGCCTACCGTATCTCTTTCATTCTCGGCATTCTCAGTATCTGTGCAGAGGATCCTTCCAGTACTGGTCTCTCAGTTCCTTGACCATAAATAATCTTGTGCTCCACTCTAGCTCAAATCCTAAACCTTATAGCCATACTCATAGGCCTTGTCATTATCAACAACTTCATATGCTCCATAGCACTAATTTCAAGGAACTGGGTCAGCCAGTCCTGTAACCGTCCCACCTCCATCATGTCCTCATTTCCCTCCTAGCCCAGTTTATACTCCATGAATCAATTTCCTGTAAATCCTCTTTCTCTTCTTCCATTGCGCTTTTCTAGAAAAACAAACACCCTGATCAAGTCTAGCTTGCCACATATTTTGTGACTGTATCTAAGAAGTTAAGCATGGACATTACTGATTGTCTAATTTTAAATACGACCACAAAACTCAACTGGGCCTGTAATGCTACATAGCGCTACTACAGTTCCCTAGTCAATTTACTCTTCTACTCTTCTAAACAATGCTGGCATACCTTCACTTCTTTCCCTAACCTCTAAATGTGAGAGTCTGGAGAGGTGGCCTCAAACCTCTTCCCTAACATGCATTCACTAGGGTGATCTCACTTAGTCCCAGGGCCTTAATGCCATTGTGTGATGATAATGGCCCGGTCTATATGTCAATTCAATCTTTCCCCTTAATGCCAGATTCATATACCTAACACCTTTCTCAACGAATTCCATTCAAAGTCTAATAGGTATCACAAATTTCATATGTTGCAACAGACTCCTGATTCCCAAGCCTGTTCTTCCCCATCTCTATAATCTTCACCATTCATGCAGTTGCTCATGCCAAAACCTACCAGTTATCCTTGACTCCTCTCTTTTTTTCACATCCTTTACTTAATTCATCATCCCATCCAGTTGGCTCCATGTTTAAAATTTACTCAGAATCTGACCACCCATACCACCATTTTTGTCATCTTGATTAACACAATTTTCTTCTAATTCTTCTCCTAGTTACCACTCTTGCCTCACAAGAGCCAGAATGAGAGGTTAAAGACTTAAATCACATCATGTGACTCCTGCTTACAACACTTTCCAATGTCCCGGCATGGCCTGGTGGCCCACCGGCTCTCCCACCTCATGCTCAGTCCCCTTGCCTTGTTCTGCTCCAGTCACACTGGACTGCTGTTGTCCTTGAAGCACGTGCTGAACACTTTCCAATCAGAGGGCCTCTCTCGCAGGAATTATCTTCATTGGCATATGTACACAGCTTACACCCTCAGTTCACTTAGCTGCCTGCTTAATCTTGTCACAGAGGGCTTCTGCACCCACTCTTTATAAAATGCCACCAGCCCTCCCCAACATCACTCTCTATCTTATACTCCCACCTTATTTTTCTTCAGAAAACTTATGACCATCTGGCATATTTATTTGCTTACATTCTAAACCCTCCCATGGAAAAAAGTGTCATGAGAATCAGAATATTTTTGTATTTATTACTATATCCTTAGTCCCTGAAACAGTGCCATTCAGGTACTAAGACATCCATAAATAGTTGTAAAATGAGTAAATCTGCTTTGAGATCTTTAAATACAAAGTTCTCCTAAAAATTATAATACACATACACACATTCAGAAGAAACAGTGAGTCTAACACATTAGCTATATCAGGTAGTATTTGGGCATCAAAAATAATACCTGATGACTTACTTTTTCTATTGACTCCAAAGTTTCTGTATATTTTTCTTCTGTCTGCTTAATTTCTGCTAGACAACAACTTCGTATATCATTTTCTGGACATTTCTGCAGTTAGAATTATCAAAATAAAGTAATTTAATAAAATCATACATTAACCTATCAGGAAGGAGAGATCCAAAGCATTGCTGACTTTCTTAAACTTTCCTTTCTAATAAAACACATAATTGAAAGACATGTAACTGCATTTGTGAGGTAGCTTTGCTGTTTTTATAAAAATGTTGAACAATGTAAATGAAAAAGATTTAGATGATTAAAAAATAAGCTTCTGAATGTGGACACTCTCTTTAAGTTAAAACATCTTTTATTAAAATGTTCATAAAGTTGGAAACACCATAAATGGTGTATGATTGTTCCCTTAATGTACAGCACACTTAACAAATGCTATAGAAATAACTGCAAAAACAATAAAAAGGGTATTTGGAAAAGTAAGTAAAGACCTTCAAATATTTTTTCCAACATTAACATCTTACCGCTTGACTTTTTAACTAAGTATTTAACATTGGAAGTCGTAGAGCACAACACTAAAACCAAAGATTCTGGAGTCTGATGGAATTGGGTTCAATACCAGTTTTGTTGTTAGCTTTTCTTTTCTTTTTTCTTTTTTTTTTTTTTTTTTGAGGCGGAGTCTTGCTGTGTTGCCCAGGTTGGAGTACAATGGCGCCATCTCTGTTCACTGCAAGCTCCACCTCCCGGGTTCGCTCCATTCTCCTGCCTCAGCCTCCTGAGTGGCTGGGACTACAGGTGCCCGCCATCACACCTGGCTAATTTTTTGTATTTTTTAGCAGAGACAAGGTTTCACCGTGTTAGCCAGGATGGTCTTGATCTTCTGACCTCGTGATCTGCCCACCTCGCCCTCCCAGAGTGGTGGGATTACAGGTGTGAGCCACCGCGCCCAGCCTGTTGTTAGTTTTTCTAACTGTGAATGAATCACTAAATTTCTCTGACTCCATTTTCTTATCTGGGAAACAGAGAGAATCACAGCGCCAACCCCAAGGAATGGAAAATGAGATAAACAGTGTAAAGCGCTTAGCACTTTTCCAAGTGCGCAAGAAGAGTCCTGTCCATCTAAATTATTATCACTGTTCACCCCATCAACTGAGGACTGCCCTTGGGGGAGACAGTGAAGAATGCGCTGGCACTCAATGCAGTTAACAATTATAGGAAGCCCACATGATATTCAGTCACCTAAAAATGTTCTGAAAATGCTGCCACAGATGAGCTGTCAGCCTATGAGATGGTTAAACCACACTTTCATTTTATTTCCCAAACATAGGCAGGTAACTTGTTTCCATTCCACAGAAGCTACTGGACAACCCACCAGCCTTTTATTAAAAGTAGGAACATAGACAGAGCTAAGCACATTCATCAAAGCACTGCAGAAACAAAAATTACCAAGCAGCTGGTAAAGAAAAGTCTTTAATATACAAGAAAAATTTATTAAGAACCTAAGCAACTGACTTTTTTGTTGTTGTTTCAAATTGTAAATGAGAAAATAATCCAAAGTAATCCTTTCTGAATGTTCTGGATATATTAATGGCAGATAAGGTTTTGAGGGCTCATATTGGCTATGATGATATCTGAAACTAAATTTATAAATGAGTAGGAAAGCCAGGAGACTTATCATGAAACAAAAGAAAAATGGTACCTCGTATTAACACTTACCAAATGTGAAGAAATACTCTTTAATATATATTTTATCTTATATCAAATTTAAAGGGAAAAATTTACCTGTGTTGTAAGAAATTTACTTTTATAAGGGTATAATTTCATGATTCCCTAAAATTCTATTCTACTACCACCCTGCCATTATTTAGCTGGGTGGCACTTCATTTCTCTCTCAGACTTTGTTTCCTTACTAGCAAAATGAAAAGATTAGACCAAAGATTCTCTATGGTTGTTTTGAACTCTGAAAGGCCATGCATACGTCTCCAAATGCAGTAACAAGTCATAATTATATAGTTATAAGCAAGCAAAGGTTAAAAAAATCCCAGCAGAGGTTACATCAATGATTATGTTAATTAGTCTTTCCTAATAAAATATTCAGAGTAACATTAAAAACAAGTAAAAGTCCTACGGGTTGATGTGCTTCCTCTGCCTTCATTAAGTCCTCATAGACTTCTCCACCTTCATCTTCCCCATAAACACAGTCATAGAGATCTTCTTCATCTTCCACAAGGGTTTCACTACAACAAAGGATATGATATAAGGTCATTTTCTATTATGCAGTAAATGCAAGAGCTACAAATAGCCTACTGGACTTTAGTAGAAAATCCAGAAAGGAAATAAAATGGAATTAGTGGGAAGAGTTCAAAAGGTTTACATTACAACTCTGTCCCTCTTAACAAGTATAAAGATAAGCAACTCGAGAATCTAACAATGAGGGCAGTGGCGGCTATCATTTACTGGGTAGTTACCATGTATAAGCACAAAAATAATTACTCTACATATATTATCTTATATAATTCATCCAACATTAATTATCAGGTATGCATTATTATTTAATCCATTAAAGAGATGACGAAGTTGAAAGACCAAAAGGCTATTTGACTTTAAAAATAACCCAGGTAGTCACCAGCAGATCCAATATGTAAAACCGAGTCTCTCTTAACTCTGAGTGTTTTACCCACTCTATCATACTGCCTCCCACTTTTCGTATTGCAGGACCTTAGTTTCATCAACTGTATTAAAGGGTATAATATGGAGAAGATAGGAGAGTTACATTGTATCTAATATGTCATAAGTGGTCTTATAAAAGCATGTTACTGCAGTGTTATAATCAGCATCTAATCCAGTGGTTTTCAAACCATGCTCTTTCAAGCCCATTCAGAGGAAACCCACCAGTCCCTCATCAACCAGACCCTTCCTCTATCTGTTTTATATCTCAGAGCCATAACTAAGGTAACAGACAGACATAGGATACTGGAGCAACCAGACGTGGTGAACACTGAGAATAAGGGGAGAGAGAAGGAACAAAGAGGAACGAACTTTCTACTTTGGGACACTAGGGAGATGGTGAGCCATATTGGCAGTGACATAATTTCCATACTGAGGGGTTTAGGCAGGCAATCTGGCCAGAGAACACTAGGGCAGGTAAATCGGTTTGCACATTCTCTGTACCACATCAGAGGAGGAAGGTCTGGTGAGTTCATGAGGGAGCTGAGATATAAAATGATGAAAAAACAGCTTCTGCATTGGAGGGGATCCTGTTCTGAAGAAAAAGAGACTGAAATTCATTTATCTGGCACTCCTAATCCCAGCACTCCTGCTTCTGATCCCTAATATCACCAGCCCTGCAAAAAAAGTCAACCTTGCTGAAGCCCTACATTTGACTACTTCCCATGACAGTAAAGGAATGAATCATAAACAGACTTTTCTCTATTTTTGTTGTTGTTGTTGTTGTTGTTGTTGTTGTTGTTGGGGGAGGGGCGTGACAGAGTCTCACTCTGTTGCCCAGGCTGGAGTACAGTGGCGCAGTCTCGGCTCACTGCAGGCTCTGCCTCCTGGGTCCCGGCGATTCTTCTGCCTCAGCCTCCTCGGTAGCTGGAATTACAGGCACGCGCCATCATGCCCAGCTAATTTTTGTATTTTTAGCAGAGACGGGGTTTCACCATGTTGGCCAGGGTCTTGAACTCCTGACCTCAGGTGATCTGCCCACCTCAGTCTCCCAAAATCTTAGGATTACAGGCGTGAGCCACCGCATCTGGCCGACTTTTCTCTATTTTAAGACCTGTAAGAATGACATGCATGTCTGAGTGCATGCGTGCATCCAAGTGCACAACTGCAAACACACACACAAGACTGGTCTAGAACTGTTTGGCTTTTGTTATTCAATCCTATACTAAAGCTGCTTTTCTTGCTAATAGCTTAGTCAACAATTTCTGATTTCTGAGCCAGGAAAGAAAAAAGCTGTGATATTTTTCAAATGGTCAATAAATCAGCAACAATCGACATTAGCTTTCCTGTCTTAGGGCCACCCTGTCACACCCTGACAGTGTGGTCATTACCTGCCCTCTCCACTCCACCATGTGGCTTTCTCTCCAACTTAGGAAATAATGATTGCCTCCACAGTAGGGACCAGACCAGTATTTATTCCAAGGGCTTCCATTTGGGTGATTTCAGTTCCAAAAGTTAGAGTTAAGTATATTTACCCATAGAAATTGTAACAAAGCTGAGAATAAAAATCAAGCTGTCATGGCAAACGCAAAACCAAGTATTTAGGGATAATACATTTGCTCTTTTTTTTTTTTTTTTTGATAACCCTACTTTGCCTTTTATCCTAGAACTTTGGGAGGCCAAGGTAGGTAGATTGCTTGAGCCCAGGAGTTGGAGAACAGTCTGGACATATTAAATAAATAATTTTTTTAAATCCTGCAAATACATTTGGACCTTCGGCCACCAAGTAGAAATTTAAAGCAGACTGCCTCTCACAGAGCAAGGGCTGGCATCTCAGAGCAGCCAATTCAGGAAACCAATTGGCATCTCAGGAAGCCAATTCAGTTTTCTCCAAATTTAGCTAAGAATGCATCCTCAATGGATTTATCCTGACATCAATTCTGCCTAAATAATATCAGTGAAAAGAACAAGACAGGGAAGCTATAAAAATTTATAGGTGTAAGTCACCACTGGTATGGGTTAAAAAAAAATATTGGCTGGGTGTGGTGGTTCATGCCTGTAGTCCCAGCACATTAGGACACCGAGGCGGGTGGATCACCAGGTCAGGAGTTCGAGACCATCCTGGCTAACACGGTGAAACTCCGTCTCGACTAAAAATTAAAAATCAGCTGGGCGCAGTGGCAGGCACCTGTCATCCTGGCTACTTGGGAGGCTGAGGAGGGAGAATCACTTGAACCCGGGAGGCAGAAGTTGCAGTGAGCTGAGATCATGCCACCACACTCTAGCCTGGGTGCCAGAGCAAGACTCTGTTACCAAATATATATATATATATATATGTATGTATGTATGTGTGTGTGTGTGTGTGTGTATATATATAGTATCACAGCACTAGAAATTAAACATTTTTCCTTAAACAATCTGAGTACATTATCAATAATCTTAGTCACTTTATGAAGACTACAACCAATTCAGTAAAACAACTGGCACTATCTTGCTTACTATTGGTGAGTTCTTAGAGATTTTAAGAGATAAGAAACTATTCTTAATAGATATTTAAAATATAAGACTGAAAGGTCACTCTGAAGACCACCTACCCTGGAAGGAGCTGCTGGCCATCCATCCGTGTGGCTGCAGTAGGCACGCTCACCCCCTCTGCTCTTCTACTAAAAGCTCTGAGAGGGGCAAGTCAGGGTGTACCTGGAAGTTGGGACTGTGACTAACAAACTCCGCTCTAGAATAAGAGATGTCTGAGTTCAAATCCAAAGATTATAATTTACTAGCAATATTACCTTCAGCAAGTAACTAGACTTTTCAAAATTCAGTTTTCTCACTTTCAAACTGTGAAGATGTAACAACCTAGTAATATTGTGGTATTACATAAGATAGTGCATATAACCTGGTTAGCACACAAATGGAAACTCAGTAAGCTCTTATTATTATTGCCAGGTAATCCCTGGCAAACAGTAGATGCTAGATGCAGTTTTGACTTGTTAATTTAGAAAACAAATACTTATTGAGTACCTACTATATGCCAGACACTGTGAAGTTCTAGGAATACAGCCATGAACAAAGCAAAGTCCCACACCTCACAAAAGTTTACCTTCTAATGAGGAGACACAATAAATGAAGCAAACCAAGACTGTCTCAGGCATTGGCAAATGCTGTAAAAACACAGCAATGTGAGGGGGTGGTGGCAATTTTAGACAGGGTAGTCAGAGAAGGCCTCTCTGCAGAAAGAAATCTGAGCAAAGACTTGAATGCTGAGGGGTCAGTCAAATAGGCAGAAAAAATAGCAGGTGTAAAGGTGACAAAGCTAAAGCAAGCCCAGTGTGTTGGGTGTATGAGGAAGGATCGATGAATGAATGGATGAAGTTCCATAGCATTTGAATCTGTCTTGGGGCATAATCTATTTCTTATTATGATTCCTTGCAAACATGCCTGATCTATGTCATCAGTTCCTTGAGGAGTAAGGATCATGCTTATATTTATTTGTAATCGGTACAAGTCACTCAATCAGCAGAAGATAATCGGCTGCAAGGACCTTTTGCCTCTCTTGACTATTAAATAATAAAGCCCAAAAGGATTCTCTGTTCAGAATAAACACCATCTACTAAAACATCCCGAATAGCTCCAACCCACACTTATCTCTCCCTTCCTTGAACTTATAAGGCATGCACTGTGTGTCCCACAACTCCAGCAGCAGATTCTGTTTCTTTTAAACTGTTCCCTAATTGTCCAACTCCAATTTTATCTACTACTTCTGTTATAACTTTGAGAAACTTTGAAATTTTACTTCATTAGAGTAAGTTTCTTTATTCTTCATGGGGACACAAAACAGGAACTAAAGACCAGTTGAAGTACATTTTCTTGTAAAGCTTTCCATCGCCAGTTTAAGGTTAATCAGGAATTAAGCCACTTTTCCTCCTTCAGATAGCTTACTTCAACATCCACAGTTAAAACCCACAACGGACACATAAATTGGCAGTGGCTAAATTTTCCTCAAAATGTTCAACATACTCTATTAAATCAGGAAGGCCTTTGTAGACGTCTTCATCGTTAATGCTTTCTTCTGTTGGGAAGGGCCTAGGAAGCGGGGGGAAAAAAAATGAGTCAATGAGCAACAATCAGGCTAAATATGTAAGTTGTCTGATGCCAAAATGGTCAGATCAGTCACCATGTCTACCAATGTCTAGGGCTTTCCCTAAAGTGCCTGCTCAGTGGCTGTGTCTGGGGTTCCCCGAGGAAGGCTGTAACACCTGCCACCTGAAATCATCTGAAGCAATTACAGCGGGTCACCACAGTCACATGTGCAGGGGGTCATAATAACGTGCTTGTCTGATCTCCCACTTGCCACATACCTGCAGGGTCATCTCACCCACTGCAGCACCCCAAGTCAGACAACAAACAGCTGTGCATGTACCCTTGCCTTCAGCACCCTCTCTTTTCAGCTATGGGATCTGATAACAAATAATTTGGTAACAATCATCCTTCCATGGCTCCGTTCACTAGTGTAAATGAAAACTAGTGGAAGACAAAAACATTGTGCCCTTTACATATACGGTCCTTGACCCTGACATTTCTGCTCAGACTTTAGGGTATTTAAGCTGTATTTTTTATTTTCATTTCTTAGACAAATGAGTCAACCAGACCTTGGGGAGAACAGAGTGTTTTCTTTGTTCCCTATTCAAGAAAATCGCACTTTAATGTATCTCCTATTCCCACTGTGTGGCTTCCTTGTTTGCATCATGGTACTATGTCCTCTGTTCATAACACCAGTATACCGCCCTAATTTATGTCTAACAAATCACAGGAAGTATACTGTGCCAAAAATTCTACTCTTTTCAGGCAGCCAGCATATCACGTTTCATTAAAACAAGAGGATCCATCAAAATAATAAATAAGCTTTAAATAATTACTAGTTATATTAAAAAGCAGAGTTTCACATTGACTTATGGATTAATTTAATACTGAAGACATTTGAGGAGACTAGGTTTTTCAAATAAATCAGCGTGTGAGAAATGTAGTCTCAAAATTATTTTTTACAAATTAAGGCACATTTTATTATGCAAGTTCATCGTAGAAAATATAGAGAAAAATTAAAAAGGAGAAAAATCTTCTGACTTACATTTTTTCAGAGTTGAGAATACATAAAAATGTGATGCTTTTAAAAAATGTTTACATATAATAACATAAAATACATATTCACATGGAAGGTATGAACGTATCGAAGAGCAAATTAGAAGGAGTTAAACACTTATCCAGCTGACAGACCACATACATAGAAAGCTGCCAAATTCATGGCCCATTTCTGAGAAAGGTCCAGTACCAGCAGGGCATCTTCCCTGAGCTCACTGTGCTTTGTAGCCAGTGCAGAGAATCCCGCTAAATCCTGCTTGGATCCTCTCCCTTAGAATGTGAATGTGAGCTGGACACAGAAAAATGACTGTGATGGCTAGAGACAGAAATATGGAGCACTGCATAAAGAAGGTAAAAAACAAATCCATTCCATTTCCATGAAACCTGGCTGTGTAGAGACTATTTTTCCTTATTTCGTCATGTTACTTATATAATACATCTTCACTGACTGATCTAACTTAAGTATGTAATATCTGAAACAGAAAAGGCTCAACACAACATACACATCTATATTTTTATGCTTATCAACTGCATAATACTCCATTGCAAGGAGATGCCATACTATATTTAACCAATTTACGTCCAGGTTTTTAATTTACTACTGAACTTTCAATACACATTCTTGTACACATGTTTTATACTTGTCTGATTATTTCTTAAACTCCTAAAAGCTATGAGTTATTATGTTCTACTCTATAGGAAAAAACAAATTACAACATCTTTTAAAATACTTATTTACTTAAGCATTTGTGTCTACTTTAATGAATCATATGTACAGAAATGTTAGAGGAAAGTTAAAAAAAAAAAAAAAAAAAAGAACCACACCAGTGACAGTCACCTGTGAATTTAGAACAATGTTTAGCCAATGCGTTATTCAATTAATTTCAAATGTGTACGGGATACTTAATACCAGGCACTCTTCATGAATGAGACAAAGTACCTGTGTGCAAGGTGCTTCACAAATAGTAACCATTTAATAATGAATCATTACACTGAACTCAGTGGGACACATGAACAATGAAAACAGAGCTTACCTGATTCCTGTGGCCAACGCTATAGGTGTTCGAGAAAGTCGTGATAATGTTTCTATAACCTGAGAAAAGAGGAAAATACTAATTAGACATGTAGTTCAGAAAAGATAAGATTTCTTTTTCCAAAACTTTTTCAATCTAATATTAACCATAGCAGCAGAAACATAAATTTGCAGATGTCAAAGACGTCCAGAATGAGAAGGGCAGTGATTGGGAAGTATAAACATCTAGATTATAATTTTGTTCCTTTCTTTATTACTTTAAGCAGATTACTAACCCATTTGAGTTCCAGATTCTTTATGAGTATAACACAAAGTTAGCCTGGGTGACCCCAAGCAACTTCTCTCTCTACTTTCACAGAATCTGAAAGATTCTGGAAAGCTGTATTCTCCAGTATAGTACCCACTAACCACATGAGGCTATTTAAATTAATTTAAATTTTAAAAACAAAAATCCCAGTTCTGCAGTTGCATTAGCCACATTTTAAGCGTTCAGTAGCCACACACATGTGGCCACTGTAATGAACTACACGGTGATCAAAAATTTCCATCATCACAGAAAGTTCTATTGGACAGTCCTGCTATACAGCAAAGCAGGTGAGAGTGTGGGTGGGCTCTTGGGCCAGACCACCTGAGTCTAAATCCTCAGTTTACCATTTATTGGCCAGGTACCTTTGGGCAAAATACTTAACTTCTCTGAGCTTTTGTTTCATCATCTAGGTAATGCCTACAATAATAGGTAGATTATTAACAATCACTACATTATCGTGAGGATTCAATAAGCTAGCACGTAAACTATTTAAATAGTAGCTATTCTGTTTAATCACCTACTTTAAGGAAATTGCCTTAATTTAATTCTGAGTGTTTTCAGAAAAAGTTTTCTAAATTAACCTTAATTCTGCTTCAAAGATTCCTTATAAAGATCTTCAGTACCCAAACCTAAATGTTAAATGTGCCCTGCTAGCAACTTCACCCTTCCTTCAATCTTTTGTCCTAAGATTGTCTCTTTCGAAGACTTAGTGAGAAAGCCATTTATCTAAAATGTATTTTTCTCATCAAGTTTGTTCTTGTTTATTTCTTTTTTGAGACAGAGTCTCACTCTGTTGCCCAGGCTGGAGTACAGTGGTGCCATCTTGGCTCACTACAACCTCTGACTCCCAGGTTCAAGCGATTGTCATGCCTCAGCCTCTCTAGTAGCTGGGATTACAGGCACACATGACCATGCCTGGCCAATGTTCATATTTTTAGTAGAGATGGGGTTTCACTATGTTGGCCAGGCTGATCTCGGACACCTGTCCTCAAGTGATCCACCTGCCTTGGCCTCCCAAAGTGCTGGGAATTACAGGTGTGAGCCACCATGCCTGGCCATAAAGTCTATTTTTATGATAATAGATATAATGCATCCTAAGTCTCAAAATTTTAACAAACGAAACAAACGAACAACGAAACAAACGAACAAACGAAACAAACAAACGAAACAAACGAATGAAACAAATGAACAAACGAAACAAACAAACGAAAAGAGGTTCTACCATAAGGCTTATTCAGAACGATAGTAAAAAACGAGAAAAGGCAAAAATCTGTTTCCAAATTAAGGTAATCTAATTCCTTACTTCAGAGACAGGAACATAAAAATGAAGTCTCCAGCACTCTGTAGAAGGTTCATGAGAATACTAGCCACACATACACTTATATCTCACCCACTTCAGGAAGTGGTACCATATATATATGGTTGTAGTTAGAAACTCCTGGCTTTGGAGTAAGAATACTTGGAACCCTGACTCACGAGTTTTCAGCTATGCTCACCTTTACAAGCCTCTGTAAAATGCACACAATAGCTAATTGCTTCATGGAGTCACAGAAAGAATTAAATGCAATCATGCCCATCATATGCTTAACTCAGTAAATGTGAATTTTTATTACCATGTAAAATAAAGTTATTATACAAAGATAATACTTAATTGAATTACATACAGATGATAATGTACTGCATTCTTAAAAACTGCAAAAAGGGTACATTTTAAGTGTTCTTATTAACAATAAAAAATATGTGATGTAATGCATATGTTCATTAGCTCCAGTTAACCATTCCACAATGTATACATATTTCAAACCAACATGTTACACAAGATCAAAACATACAATTTTTATTTGTTAATTTTTTTAAAAAATTAAGAAAATTTGTTACACAAACAAAACAGAAGGGAGCAACACTCTTTAGGATGGTTCCAAAGGGTTCAAAAGAAGCAAAGGACATGGTGACTAGATGAGCTAATTTACAGACCCCAAAATTCTATATTCTAACTCTAGCCCCCTGCTGTGACACTAGAAAAAGAAAAGGGAAATACAATTGAAACCCTTCATGCAGTTTCTTCCTGGTTAACTATGTTGAACATCTAATGTCAAAACATACACAACCAATCAGATAAAACTTGATATCCATTAATTCCCCATAATAAAGACAAAGCATTGTCAGTGAGTTCGTAAATTCAGAAGATCAAGAATGAATACTAACACATTTATGAAAATTCGCTAATTCAAAATAAAAATAGTTGCTTGCTAAAATACCAAAATTATTCACTATTAGGCAAAAAGTCTAACTTTGGGGAGGTTCTGGAATAATCAGTACAGTATCCAGACCCTTGAATTAACTACATTGCTTTACTTTAGCATGCATCTTATCCTAATATATCACTATTAGAAAGCTATGGGGTGAAATCTGCCTCTGATTTTAGTTTACACTGTGATCCCAGCATATATCACTACTTAATAACAAGAAAAATAGCAATAGCAGTACTACAGCTATGTCTTTTATTATTACTATTCTAATACATATTTTATATAGCAATGCATTTTACTCCTTAGGGATATCTTCTACAGTAACTACGATGTATCTACAAAATTAGAATGCATTTTCTATTCCTTTTCCCCCAACAGAACAATAACCAGAACAATAACAACCAACAATAACAACCAACCAACAACCAGAACAATAACAACCCCTCCCCTACACACCGCCTCTCTCAGAAAATTATAGCTTGATTTTTTTCATGAGTGTCCACTAGAGGGAGCCAGATGATAGTCTATTAGTTTAGCCCTGAATGTGTTTTATAAGGACAAATATTTCTGAAAATCAACAAACTGAGACCAACTCCCATTTTCTGCTTAACAGGGGTTATTTATTACTATTCACTAATAGAGAAATAACAAATATACAAATTCAGCAGATAAGGAGGAATGGAAAGACATGCAGTATATCCTAAAGTGAGTCTGACAACTGGCACTCAGTTTTGGGTCTATCCTATTGTACATTGAGCCCATCCGTTAACTCTACATTTAGCCAAAGCAAATAAAGACTGTTTAGTCAATGTGGTGTTTTTAGAACAATGTGTATTCTATAAAGGCGGAGTGTATCCGGATCTGGAATAGACAAGTATACAAACTAATGCCAGATTCTTAAATCCTCTTTGTGGGGATTCTGACTTGTCATTGGAAACACCCGTTCAAGAACTTTTACAAAAGAAAACATATCTAAGGACACTAAGAAGACTATTTTCCTGCAATGTATTAATTTCTAACTTGTTACTACAAAATAATAGGAAATTCTGAGGTATACCAACTCCCAGAAACAGACATAGCTAGTAAGAATATCTGGAAGTCAATAGGCCAACAATCAACTAGAGTAAATCCATGTCATGAATTTTCTTTCTTTCCCTTTGTCTATCACTTGGTGAGTAAGAAGAGTGGCAGCTGTCAAGAAATGAAAATGAGCCTGGATAACATAAATAAGAGCTATTTTGTGAGGCAGGTGGGAAAGGTAGACAAAGGGTTCTGCAAACCTGCGTTAGAAGGGTGGCTTACATTCCAGAAGCTAGGAAAGACCATTGAGAAAGTGTGGGAAGGACAATCACAGGGTCAAAACTGCATTTTTAAAGTAAAGTGAAGGGTAGACTGGGGTAAGAGGACATAGGGAACAGACAAAGGGCCAGGAGACCAACCGAGGCGGCTGTCTCAGCCATCCAAGTGAGAGGTGAGGCACTGGAACCAAGATGGCTACAGGAGAGACAGGCAAGTAGTGGCAAGGAGAGGAGCGTTCAGGAATAGTAGCTGACGCTGTGTGAGGGCTAAAGGAAGAAGAACCCAGGATGACCTGGGCAAGCTGTTAAGGCTCTGGAGGTGGCCAGCCCCAAGGTCGCCTACCGGGAAAGCCTCCAGGATGCTTGCGAGCAAGAAGCCTTTGTTCTCTCTGTGTCTTCTACGTGGTGGACACGTACCATCCTGAACCAAGTAAGGCCACCCACTCCTCCAGGGAGCCTTCTCCGGCCCCTGGTCTGTGTCCCATTTGTGTCCCTATAGGACCCCGGACGTAACTCTGCTGTAGCATCTATCACCTCATTTAAAATGAAAATTTATTGGCTTTTAAAAATATTTCAGGCCAGCCTTGGTGGCTCACACCTGTAATCCCAGCACTTTGGGAGGCCAAGGCAGGTGGCTCATGAGGTCAGGAGATTGAGACCATCCTGGTTAACACGGCGAAACCTCGTTTCTACTAAAAATACAAAAAAAAAAAAAAAATTAGCCGGGCATGGTGGTGGGCACCTGTAGTCCCAACTACTTGGGAGGTTGAGGCAGAAGAATGGTGTGAACCCGGGAGGCGGAGCTTGCAGTGAGCCAAGATTGTGCCACTGCACTCCAGCCTGGGTGACAGAGCGAGACTCTGTCTCAAAGAAAAAAAAATTTATTTTTCAAAGGAATACATGTTTACTTTGTCAGACTGAAATAACACAGTAATACATAAAAGATGCCCCTCCATACAACTCCTCTCTCTTCTGCCTAAACAGGACCACAGCTAAAAATCTGGCGTGACTCTGGCATAATTTTTCTTTTTTCCTTTGCTTTATTAAGTGATGTATTCCTACTATACAGATTTTTCTATAGCATGCTTTTGTCATTAACAATAAAGCAGAGTCATGTCATATGTATACATCTACTTTATTCATTTTAGTGCCATGTAACATTTCAGTGTATATAAATAGCAATGATTTAGCCATTCTCTTGCCAAT